CTACCATGATTATCCTTGTCAAATGACTTGAAAATTATTTTAGATTTCGTCAAGTGTTCTGTGGCTCCCGATGCCGCCAGAAATTTGGTAAATATTTTATTTTGATCTGGATTACTGACAAAGTTGCAGCAGTAATCATTTTGTTCAGATACGGCTAATGAATTGATTGAAAACATCTTACTTTTGTCGTACTGCCCTTCAACGTGATTGGCTTGTCCATCTTTTTGCTTCCGTGAGTATCTCTTCTATTGGTGTTTACATTCCTGTATCCACCTCTGCCCCTCATGAGTTTGCAGCTTTTCGCATCTCTACATTTCTCCTCAGAATACCTTCTTTTTATTTACCTCGTCTGTCATCATAGTAACTTTTACCTCCTTTCATGTTTTGTTTGTAATTATCATTTCTGTGTGCCCCTCTAGCAAAACTTCGACTATGCCCCTCCCTCGCACATGCCCTGTCTGTTTTAAATTTTTCACTGGATAATCAGCTGCTTTGTGGTCAGTTATCTGATGGCATCCGTAATACTTTTTCCGTCCAGTACCCTTGAACCTACACTCACTGCCTTGATGGCCATTGTCATCGCATTCATAACACCTCTCTCGGGACTGATTATAAGCATTCATAACAGCTCTGGTGTCAGCCGTCCCGACAGAGTTCTGTTTGCCTCATGCTCTCGTAGATAGCTTTTCCACCCATCATAGGTAAGACGTTGACCTCTCTGTTTTTTAGTCATGAAATGTACCTGCTGCACATCTGGAACCGTACCCTTAATGGCAGTGAAAAACGCGTCTCTCATTTCAGTTTCTGACAGTTTGGTGGTCTCTAAGTTATTGAAACTTCTGACAATATCCTCGAATTTGTCACAAAAATCTCCAGCCTTTTCTTTGTTAGGATAGTGTTTTAAGCTATGCAATTATTATCGAATGGATGCTGTAGTAACGTTTGTCTCACAGTTTTTAATATGCTTAATTTTCTTCAGAATCTCTCCTGGGTTTTTTATTTCTACTACTTTGGAATGATAGTGTTTATCACGATGATTCATTAAAATGTTTCGAGCACGATGTTTTTGTTTTGTAATGAGATCTGCATCTCAGTTTCCATTTGCTACATTTTCAGAATCAATAATGTGAACTAAATCGACAGATCTTAACTCAGATGTGTGAAAATCTAGAAAGTGTTCATATTTAATTTTAGCTGTTAATTTGTAATCGCGTTTTGTAATATGATTTTTATTAAGAAACTCGATTTTCAGGGTTTCCTTAACCTGATTCACCAAACTGCCACTGTTTTCTTTTTCTCTCCTCTGCTCATTTCTCAATTCCTTCATCTTTTCATGTACAATCTTGGTGATTTCATCATTAATACCATCTCTCGACTGCTGAGACTCAGATGTGTTCGGTCTCTCTGAATAGTCATCGTCTTCCTTGTCATATTTGTAATTGTACTGCAACAATTTGTTATATTCAGCACGTATCTCGCTCAATTGTCTTTTCATTTCGTTACTCAGCTCCTCCATAATTTTTCCTTGCCTAGCAAATACTTCTCTCTGTTTCTCCAATTCGTTGTTTTTTTTATCGTTATTTTACATCGCTTCGATCCGGTTAGGGTATACTGCGATGATGATCAAGACTTTAAAATGGTTAGATCGCACCATTCTACCCAGCCGACTTTTGAACTCGGAACCTTTCGCATGTGAGGCAACGAACTTACCCATTGCGCCAACTCACCGGTCTACCAATTCGTTGTTGATTTCTTTTTGCATTCTTTCCATTTTTTCCACAGCAGTCTGTGCATTCACTAATACGTCGTGGTATTGTTTCGGGTGTCCGCACTTTTTTCCTTTGGAAAAAATCTCTCGGAAAAATACTTTTTTTTCAAAATTACTCGTGAAAAAATTTTTTCCGGAAAAAACTACTTGAGAAAAAATTTTCCGGAAAAAATTATTTGGCAAATTTTTTTTTGGAAATAATTGTCCGGTATTAATTTTTTTGGGAAAAAATAACTTTTTTAGGGAAATAATAACTTATCCAGTCACATTTGATTGTAATTCTTTCTTGTGTGTTTCAAACGAATATCACTTGAATTGTATTAATGGAAATAATTTTGAGCTCACGAAATTCCCAAGGATACATATATATTTGGGTATTAGCCACGGCACAATATAAACACTACACGAAACAGTGTCATAAGTGAGGGAAATTAATCTCCAGTCGATTGTCGCTATCCCTTCCAACGTCAATTTTACTATCGCACCATTCAATACATTTCCAGCTAGAATCTAAAGCCAAAATATGCCCATTAAGTCTAAAATTTCCCTGAACTTCTGTCAAAATTATTTTCTGTACATTTTTTATATAAAAAATGATGTAAAAACTGAAAAAAATTTTTGTTTCTGACATTTTTTCCAAGGAAGTAAAAAAAAAGGAATTAAATTCCGGGAAAAAAAATTTCCCAAGTAATTTTTTCCGAAATGGTGTTTGCCTCTTCTAGAGTGAGAGGATATAACCATATTGAACAGAAGAATTTTTTCCGAAACAAAAAATTCCCAAGTAATTTTTTCCGCGAAAAAAAATTTCCCAAGTAATTTTTTCTGGAAAAAAATTATTCCGGGAAATTTTTTCCGGAAGTTTTTTTCCTTAGGGAATAAGTGCGGGAACCATTGTTTCGATCTGGTTATTGAGGCTGCACAGAAAGATTTCACTAGAGACTTTATCTCTTCTAAATTTGTTGCATCAGTAATTTCTCAGCTATCAAAACCTTGAGGTTTATACCCTTTTCCCAATGTGGGAACTAATTTATTCAGATCGATTCGCGTGAATTGTATTGATTTGATAGAGGCTTTACCTGGTGGAACCTGAACTGTCGGTTTTGACTCGCTTCTCTTTATATTCGCATCTCTGCCCATCTCCGCATCTCTACCCATCTCTGCAATTCTCCCCATCTCCACATCTCTTTTCTTATCTTCCTGTTCTCGAAGTAACATTTCTTCTTGTTCTGAAATCAGGTCCTCAGGTTTTTTTACGACTTTTCACTTCTGGTATAGCCTCCCATGAACCTTCCTCATGTTGGTCCTGTACCCAATTGGTTAGAGCATTCCACTCTTCCTGGTCCATTGTATCCTTGTCTGTTCAATAATTATGTTGTTAGTACAATCGAATTTTAATTATACCTGGAGCTGTGCTTCTAATCTGGTTAACTAAACAAAGTATGGCCAGATTGAACCAAGCAATTGCATATACCACCCGAACACAAGATCGCACATACAATCACAGTAGTAATCCAGATAATGACTGAATGTACAGTTTCAATCACTCCCTGAACCACACGCCTGAATCTTGTTTTTATTCCAAGACAGATTTGAAATGAATTTTAATTATTTGGGTGGATTTTTAATTCTTTTTCATTACATATCATCAAATAAATATATCTTATTACGTGTGCACACAATTTTAGACGTCATAACACACCTGCTTGGTACGGTTCGTGATTCGTCTCGACATGGAAGAACACTGATTCTTCGTTTATATTCAGTGCCACTTGTTCACCAGCACGATGTGTGTCTAATCGAAAAATTTGCCCGAAATGTTGGACAATATTTCCCAATATCTCCTCATCTCCTTTTTCTACAGAAATTTCATATAGATTAAAATCTCATTTAAACATTGCCCAAATCCTCATCGCATGAAATAACTGAAATATCATTGCTGTCGACGGTCTAGCGGCAATAACACACAGAGACACGGGCGCTTCGAGTCCGTTGCCATGCGAGCAGTGGGCACAGAGTATACAACAGCGTTGGGAGATGTATTCTCTATCTTTCGCATTCCCGGAACACGCTCAACGCCACCTCGACAACGCTATGACCGACACGTGGTTCGTGTTGCCGCGCGTCCTTTTCAGGAATATTAAGAAAAGAAGCTTTAGCACGTCACTTCTCTCTATTAACACATCTCAATTTTTCTCTTTCTTTTATTCATTTTATTTATTCATTTATCGAATCCATTTAAACATGTTTCATCACCAAATCTCGATAGAATGAATGCAATTACATGAACACTAATACCCGGGATTTTTTTACCAAGTACGTATTTCCCTCATCTTAATTATTCATTTTCACACATCTAAAATTCTTTCACATTTCTCTCAGTGAAATTACTTTTATTTATTTTTACTTACGCTGACCCTCGTCAGGGCGATTCATCTCTGCATTTGCGGTTTCTTTGTCGTCGGCCATTGTCGAGCGCGTCTTCTTTTCGTTTTTTCTCAATGTCTTTTATTTTTATCACAACACTTTCTTCACTTAATTATCTTCAATAATGAGCGTAGTGGAAGCGTGCTGGGCCCATAACCTGTTAGAATTATGGATTGGTAGAGACAATAAAATATTATAAACGTAGAAAAGATATTTATTCAATGCATGAAGTTACAACTGTCTCCTGTGGACTCGGGACGCGAACTGACGAGCAACGGCTCGTTCAGAACGGAATATAGTGGGGAGGGGATACGCTCAGTATACACAGCCAGGGCCGTAAAGCTGTTAGGCGCTACATTTCTCACACCAGTATTTCACAAATGCTATGAATAATTCAACTTTAATTGGCGTCGATGAATAGAGCCTATTAACATTTATATTCATGGAAAAATTTATAAACTTTCATCAAGCTCCTATATGAAATTTCATCAAGCTCCTATAAAGAAAATTGCGAAAAAAAAATTCAAAAAAGTACACACACATACATACAGACAGACACCATCTAAAAACCGCATATTTAGACTTTTTAGACCATATTTAGTTACCCTGATACAAAAATTTGGAAACTTAATTTTGAGTGATTTCAAAGCTTCCATTCGGAAGCAATATGTCTAAACAATACAAGGTCAACTCATGGTTTATTAACTGACCCCGATGTCTAAGATCTTAACAGTTATCTATTAATATCAATATTGATAATTATTCCCGATGCATTTCACTGGATCATATTTTCGATTTTATTTTTCAGGCACTTGTTGTTATGTCGAGTAACTCTTGGAAAATCATTCCTGCAGTTTTCCGCTATGAAAATGGCACACGCACCACCGGGTCATCATAGTGTCATGGGTAGGCCCTCTCAAGGAGGGCTAGTATTTCCAGAATACGTTGTTTACCGAGGAGAGCAAGCTTATCCTGAGTATTTAATTACTTATCAAATTGTGAGACCCCAGCAGGAACCAGGTAGCAATGGTGAGGGAGGTGAGGAGCGGTGATGGGAAGAGGTGTGCCCTGCGGCAACACTGCGACGATTGTGCTGCTGTCAAAGACCGAGAGCCTGCAGTAGATTGTCATGGGATGAATGATTAAAAAAATTGATAAGTCAGCCATCGAATAGTGGCACGAGAAATCGAGAATATAAATAAATTGCGATTATGTGGCAGATATTTTTCAAAAATAGTGGCTCAGATGAAAAAGTTTATAATTTTTGGTCACGGATCTTTTACAATGGACGTCATAAAAGTTCTACGATTTTTCTCGAAATCTTCTTGTTTTCGAAATGAACCGAAATCATGTGGAGCATTCTGTGGGAACTCGAGAGGTTACAAACCTGATGATTACGAATTTGGATTATAATGGCTCAATTTATGTTCACAGGTGAACATATAACATCGTGTACATGTATGAACAAATCCATGAATTCTATATACGATTTTTTATTTATTTAAGTATACGACAAAATGCCTCAACATTTTCAAATTTGTGTTTCACGTTTTTCGGAAAGTATAGCCCAAAAGGATAAAAATGAATGCAAAGGGAGCTCTCTAACTCAATTATTAGCGGAGATATGAAGAGGATTGAAGATTTTTTTTTATTCTAAAAACTTCTTTTCTATTCTAATTACGATTCACCGCAACAATAGATCTTGATAGATTCAGATGGCTTAGGGCGCTTCGTACGACTAGTCGCTTCATTCTACAGTTGTATGGGTGAAGTCGGGGCGTTACGTACGCCCAGCCACCTTACTCTAGAATGGCTCTTTAGCTTTAATTATGAGTCCTAAGCATAAGAAAGAAAAATTTGAAATCATAGATTTTGTCAAAAATTCTTTTAGCTTTCCGAAAAAAATAGGGTGGATGTGTAGTTCAACTTCCTCACTTCCAATTTATTACTGAATTTGTGGTTCTTTAATTCATGTTATTCTCTGCATATACAGGTTGTCCCATTTGAAATAGTATGGCTCAATATCTATTGTAGGAAGGAAGGAACAGCAAAATTGTTCAAATACAAGGTGTAGCGTTCGGAGGGGGAAAATTAGTGCTGATGGAATCCGGGCCCCCATTGCTTATATTTCTATGCTACGAGCATAAAGTCAGTTTTTTTAAATGACAACAATATTGTTCACCCCTGCAAAAGTTGTTCGTCTCGCCGAGAAAAGTTCAATTATACCATATTTTTCGATGACGTTATCGTTTTCATGTGAATAATCGTACGAAAATCAAATTAACGGAAAATATCTTTATGAAGACTATCTTAGAAGTTCTATTATACATTCGGTACATGTGTCTTCATGTAGGTATCGCAAACAGTAATTACAGAAGATGTTCGACGTTAACGCCATTAACAGCAAGGCACAACTCCAGCCGACGTGGGAAACTTCGAACAACAGAAAGGAGGACTTCAGATGGAATGTTCGCGATTGCTTGTCTGATCCGTCTCTGCAAATCCGCCGGAGTTGTCGGTCGATTGGTGCTGTGACGTATTTTCTTACCTCTGCGGACGGTGAAAAATACGCAGCCCTCAGCGACCAAACAACGATAAGAAAGTTGGGCGCCAGCACGGGTGAACCGTGCAATTCAAACGACAAATCAAATCGACAATTACTCGAGACGAAAGAACAACCTCCGACAGCTCAGACAACCGCGGTGGTGGCTGGGTTCTCGATACAAATGGTTGTTCTGAAGTTTCCGAAATGACTTGGTTTTCTTATCTAACAAATTATCTAAAAAAATGCAATAATCCGGGGAATAAATAATTTATTCAATAAACCCCCTTGTTCATTTCATTTCAAATCACCCCTCAGAAAATTAATAACACAAATATTCAACAAAAGCTAAAGACTCGATACACTAGAAAATCCCTAACAAATGATTGGTCAAAATAATAAAATACTAGTCAGTCAAAAGAATAATTTCAGTCAAAATTACAAAATCATGAATAAAGTCGAACTGTAGAAATGACTACCGAAAATAAAGTCAAATAATATCACTGAATGGGAGGTTAATTTTCCGATAGAATATAATGTCAAAATATCCCAAATCGAAGAGGTGACTGACATCGACAGCGGCAACTGAAATTGCCTCGGAACAGACAATACTAAAGGTGACCGTAATTAAGGTCAGATACGAATCACTCGAGCGTTGATAAGACGCTACAATTTCAACTGCCGATGCGATGACGAAATGATACGACAACTTCGAATATCGAAAACAAAAGTAATTACCGAAAATTTCGAATATCAATGTAGTTCTCAAAATTAGTTCAAAACTAAATACATTATTCGAAAGGATTTGTTCTACCGATTCCTCATCCGATCGGCAAACAAACCGTTGAAACGAGAGTCAAAATCCGTTCAGAGAAACCACTGAATTCCCGAGAAAATCGAACATCTCAAATCACAATATAATATCAAAATCATACGTCCAAATTAAATTATACAAAAGAGCTAACCTCGGCCGAACAGACGATAAGAACTCGCCCTGAAAATCAAAAGACTCTAATGGCGTCACTTCGCCCGACGATAAGCGTCGTCAAAAATTGCACAAGCTAATGACCGAATTCTAATCGTTATCGATATAAAACAGATACAAAATGATATACAAAATGACATTTCTGGAATTCTTCTTCCGCTCACCACAATCTCCAACGAGTCTAGTCCAGGAGCCAGGGCGAAAGATTCTCCAAATAATCCAAATCCAGTCAACGCTGGTGTCCACAACAAGATGAATTGCTCCGATAGCAAGAGGTTCTCCACAGAACAACAGCTCGCTCGCCACCCAAACGAGAAGTGAGGCTAAAACCCACGCTTCTCCCATGCGTTCGGGACACTTCCCGCCAATCGAACCCCATTGGCCAGGGCCGTTCCATGAGCCGCTCTGATTGGTTGTAACCCAACCAAACCAGACTTATTCTCCAATAAACACTCAGCTGTGTGACAACGTCACCAAAATAGGGAATAAATATCCAATTCCTTTTCCCTTTATGTCGTATCATTACCGGACGTCTAACTTCAGTCCGATAATTTCTCTCGCACTGCCTAAACCATCACTTCCGGTTAGGCGAGGAGATCCAAAAATGGCCTCGCAAATCTCGGCCGATAACCGCCTTCGTCCCGTCACCGCCGACAAGTGGCGCCGCCGGTGAACTGCACTCGAGCTATCCCTCCAACGCGGGAACTCGATCCAAATACAAAAGCAGCTCTTTTACTACATAACGACTTTCTGGAGTTTCCCCCTTCCCAGCTCCCTGGAGACCTGACGTCCGAGGCTGCCGAAGTCCCTATATGTGGCTCGATACAATAACGAAAAAAAAATAAAAACCAAAGCATTAGTCAGAACCCCAAATAAACCCTTTTGACTCTCGCTTCGCAGTGATGACTTCTCGTCTGGATGGTAAATTTCACCGTTGAACGGTCGAAATAAAATAACACGTTACAGTGCATACAACATCCTTCACGTAACCCCACAAATAAAAATCGAGTGGGGTAAGGTCACCCCACCTAACACCTAACTCTTACAACACCCCAACACCTGGCTCTACAACGCTCTAGGTATTAGGGAATAACACCTAGCTCTCACCACGTCCCTTATCTACCTCACTCATCTTTTGTTCACATGGTATAATGACGAGATAGTAAATAAATAATATTCCAGCGTTTCTGTACGGCTAGATAGTCTGAATAAAGATATTTCCTTTTCGTTTGAGTTTCGTACGATTATTCACATGAAAACGATGACGTCATCGAAAAATATGGTATGGTTGAATTTTTCTCGGCGAAACGAACAAATTTGTAGGGGTGAAAAATATTGTTGGCATTTAAAAAAACTGACTTTATGCTCGTTGCATAGAAACATGAGTAATGAGGACCTGGATTCCATCAGCACTAAATTTCCCCCTCCGAACCCTACAACTTGTATTTGAACAATTTTGCTGTCCCCCCTTCCTACGAAAGATATTAAACTGTACTGTTTCAAATGGGACACCCTGTATTTGTTTGATTTATTTGTCCGAAATGTCCCTCAGATGGATAAAATGGAATTATGATTTCACTTACTTTCACCGCTCTCTGCGTTACCCGGGACCAACGGCGTAGATGTGGCGGTGTCTGGCCCCTCGGACAACACATGTTAACATGAAAATAGACCAGGTACAACAGAGAATGAGGTAAAATGACTCCAGTCAGGGATCCGTAACCATCCCCCACCCCCAAATCTCCACATCCTCCTTCGGTATACATCTTCACCCCATCATGCGGTAAAAATAATCGAAAAATCTAAAAAATCAAAAAACCTAAAGAAGACATATGATTCCCCAAGGCCGCAAGGGGGCAGTCAACCCGACCAAGAGCCATAAAATGATCATGTGACGTGCGCAGGATAATGCTTCGCTATAGTGGCAAAAAATTCTTGAAATCTATCACCAAAATCGACACTGCGCTTAAACATGTACTCACACAAATACCCATGATAGTGTCACACTGGAATTTAATCAGGCGCGCTTGATCAGAGCACAAATCATGGATTTTGAGCAGCATCATGTTTATTTCACCGTGTCAATTTCAAAACTAACAGCTGTCAGCGCTCCAAATTCAAGTTCGTGTTGGAATGTGCGTGGCTTACAGCCTACGAGCATCTGAAATGTAAACAACAATTATCCTGTTCTATTGTGTATGTATTATTCATCAAAATCACAACGTTCCTCCAACTACCGTGACAGCAGTTATTCCAAAATTCACTTAAGGTCATTTCCTACCTATCACTACCTATTCCTAAGTGAGAACTAAAATACATATAGTTTGTTATGGTTGAAATTGAGGACGTATTGAATTCCGGTGAGGAAGCTAAAATAGAAATTTACCAAAAAATAGTGTTTTTTATTTGTCCATATACAGTGGTTACTGCCTCACAATTGGGTTCCCTAACATTTCAGTCGGAGAAAGTAGCTAAGTAATGCCGATTCGAGGGCAACGTTTTTGGCGTCGACCTAGTCGTTGGGGCCCAGTAGGGGGGGGGGGTCAGATGAAAGTGGGTGGGTGGGTAGTTGATTAATTCGCCGATCCGCTGTTTTAATTCACGGGTCAATTAATTTAATTCGCGGTTTGATTAGCGGATCAATCAATTTGATTCGCGGTTTTTTCGGTCAAATGGGGCTCTATTGACGACTTGTCAATCCACCCCCGACGAGGGAGTGGCTGAAAGGCTTGATTACTTTGGAGGTCGCGGTTTAATTCGCGGGTTTATCCACGGTGTTGGGCCAAAGGATCCGCCACGAGAAGGCTGAGTGGGTCAAAGGGTTAATTAATCCGTGGTTGATCGCGTAATTGGCGGTCAGATATCACGGCGTGGCGGTTTCATTCGCGGGTTAAGCAATTAATTTGGGGTTTTGGCGCAACGTTTTAGCGGAGACTTGGCCAAAGGGCTCCTGTGAGGG